ACTGCTCTTAAATTATATTATCCCCAGTGCGGGACGCAGATGTTTTACGTTTTATTTCCGCTAGAGAGCGTATTCCGTATTACGCTTTACGTGTTATGTGAAGGTATTTACTGTAAACATTATGAACTCAATTTTAGGGAAAAGGGTCTGGAGGTTATACTTAAAACATCGCATTAGTTTTAAGTTATGGTTTTTGTTATGAAGGTTTACATTTCGGAAACTCTATACGTTAATATTTAGTATAACTTTATTCTCACACTGTGTCACACAATAGTGACGGGGATAAATTGTGTAACGCTGACTTTATTTGTATAGATATTAGTACATAAAAAAGACATCAACGCTGTAAAATATATTAAAACAAGGGTAAATACCGATTTAATTTGGTTTAAATCGATTAAGGCAACATCATTGATATGCATATTCATCGGGCGAGAGCTTACTGGTGCACCGCATTTGTTAAGCTGGTAATACACAGCCGTGAAAGCGATTGCGAAGCTTGTGTTAAAAAGAGTGACTTGGATTACATTTTGCTTTCAGTTATCGTGTCGTAACGAATTAAATCTGCCCTTTTTAGACGAAGTGCATTCGCTTCGATGCGATTCTATAATGAAGTTTCTTAAAGCATTAGCGATAGAGAATTAAAATTGGTAGATAATGTGCCATATTTTTTATGATTGCCTTTTCCATCCTTACGGTCGAATAATACAACTTTTTGTCTATGATCTGTCATATTAAAAAGAAAAAATACTCTAATCCTGTTTCGCTGTCTATAAATTTGTTCTTGGGATAAGAAGAACACCATTTTATATTTTACAACAATGTTTCGGATAATACACAAAAATAGCTTCGTTTTCGTTGTGTGTGATAGGTTTTATCGTTTTAATGGAATTGACGTAACGAGTTTGATGTTCGAGTTGGCAACGTTTTTATTAATTGCATTTATTTTGCACACATTTTAAACTTTTCTTTTAAACAACGAATATTTTCAAAATAAAGAGTAATAGAGTGACCCTACTTTATGGTAGGCACCGAGCCCCTCAGCGGGGACGTATAGTGAGCTGGTGATGATGATGATGATGATGAAAGAGTAATATGAATGGAATATTTGTGAAACAGCATTCTTTTATAATACAACTTTTCAAATCAAATAAAAACAAAACAACTACCTCGCTTTTTGATTATCAACCCAACCTTTTTATATTAGTCAAAAAAATATATTCGATTTCAAAATCTACACTAAGACATTTCTTTAGCGATCAATTAATTACTCTACGTGTAGTAAAAGGTAACATTGTATACTTATCTGAAGTTCAAAAGCATGTAAATGAAGCTTTTTAAAATATTAATGTAATCACTTAGCGCCTGATAAATTAATTACGCGCCAGCGTTGTTCGGTTGTTCCGTTTCGACATGCCTGAGAATGATTTATTAAATATGCAATACTTGATACGGTATTACATGACCTATATAACTGGCCAATAAATCATTTAATTTAATTTTCTGTAATCTATCTTTTCGAGAATACATTTGTAGGCATATATATTCCGTTCTAAGTGTGCCAAAGGTTTTATACGATTGTTTATGGTTTTTTAGTGTTAACTAGTATTCTCTTTTCCCGACTGTACCTTGTTTTACACCCTTAATAAAGTGTCGCAGTGATCGCGTAATAAGCGCCTGCTGTAAACAGATACGCAAATGTTTTCAATTAAACAGAATTGCGTGAGCGTGAATAAGTGAACACTCAATGAGATACGATTTAAATGAGTTCAAAAAGAATTAAAGCGGATGTTTTCACTAATATAAAACAGAATGATCAGTGTTTTACGATATCGTAGAATTTTGTAAAAGGTCCAACCCTTCTCGAGTAACAAATTTAAACAGTTTATAGGCTAAGTTGTATCTTGTTATGACAATGGCTCGTTTGCATGTTGATTAAACGAGTCTTGTTTCGTGTTTGTTGTTAATTTAAAGAGAAAACAAATACGGTTTCATTTTATTAAAGTACCCTTTGCCCGGTAATAATATAGTGAAGAAAATGCGAGATATTGGTAACTAACTCGTGTTTTTTATACAAATTCAATATGAAATAAATAAAGAATAGACTTTAATTGATGTATCACCTTGTATTATGGGCATCACCAGCCCTACCCCTCTGGTACAAGGAGCACTAGTGCCCCCCACTCCCTACAGAATCGAAGAAGGTAAAATATATTTAATAAATGCTTAAAATAAGACCATATTAACAGAAACTTTCCCCCACCCTAGACCTAGGCTAGATCGTATTGATATACAAAACAGAATTACTAAAGAATCCATACAAATTTATGTTTTATATTTTATCTGAAAAGTTCTTAAATTTAGTTGTCCCTTTTACCATATCATGACCATAATATGGTGATACAGATCAAAACCATATTACTATACTCACCACACGATTCAAAAATAAAAAAAAATACTTTAAGAGAAATTCCTCGTGAAGTGTGGTACGACGTTCCTTCGTTACATTTCTTGCACGAATGAAACACTTTTGACACGGTCTACCAACCATGCAGCTCGAACAAGATCTGATAGCGAGTAAAGTTTTTGTTGCAGTGAAACGTTAGGTTAAGCGTAATACACACTGGCTTTAATTTTACTAATATTTAAGTACAGGGACTAAATTATAAGAAAGTGAATAATCATAAGGTATTTAGTAATAAATTACTAACTCTAAGAATTTCTTTCATCAATTGAAGTATTACGATGCCTGTAAGAAGGGAAAGAAAGTGTTAAGTTGAAAGAAATAGCAGAAACGGAGCTCTGTATCTTGGATAACGTAAGTAACGCAAGTAAGAGAACAGATTCCACAAATTGATTTTGCAACAGCAATTGCTGCAACAGCTGGTTGTAATCTATTTTGCTTATTTGTCAGGATCCGTTGAAAATCATATCAAGACTTAGTCTTTTGAAATTCTAGGTCTTTTGCTAGCTGTTTCTTAATGTTCAATGTAAAACAATCCTAATGTGCAATTTCGTCACGCTAAGTTTTTGCTGAATGTAACTGTAGTGAGTAGACCAATCGGAGCCTTCGGTCTGAAACACGATGTTAGTATTTTGTTTAGTAATGGCATATAAGAAGTTGGGTATAGTTACTGTTGGGGAGTCCGATGTTGCCGAGAAGACCGGCCGTGGCGAGGGGCCGGACTCTATCCTCGCTGTATTGTCATATTCACAGACGTAGAGAGGCCTCTGCTTCGTGTATCAGCTTGTTAATATTAACCTCCCAGTAGTTTAAATTAACCGTATGTATGCGTTAAGATTAGGGACCCTCTTCTTCACCGTAACCGGTCGGCGGCATATTTGACTTCCTTTTGTCAAATTTTTCAATTGAGCATCTGGTGTTAACTAATCGACATCAATTAGGCAAAAAAGCCATCATCATCATTGATTCTGATCTGAGATATGTCAAGGTTCATCTGCGCTTCTATGTATTTAAGAAAGCTAGCAGTTATGCTGGGGCAAACCCACTCTCTCTTCTTTCAGAGTCAAATAATTAATGACTGTCATAAGTATACAATGGGGCAAAAGAACATTTTTTTTAAATGTTAGTAGATTCTTGTTAATTTACTAATATTTCCTTTAACCATTCCAACTAAGCTCTAGGCTTGTGCTAGGATATGGTCCACGGAAATAGTCGAATGGCGGGATTCGAACCCTCAACCGCAAGATCGGTAGTCCGTACCCCAAACCATAGGCTATTGGCGCTTTGATCTAATGATTATCCTCATATTTAAATTTACCAGAGGTAATGTTGCTTAGCCTACGAATTGAGAAGGTGCAATTACTCTTTTTATGTTAATGTTTTTAGATATTCAATAAGTTGGATCGACTAATCCAAGATTCAATATACAAATTGTGATCGTTTTATGAATAAATAAAAAATTACTAAATGTGGGATGAGCAAATAAACGTTTTTCCAAGAATTGATAAATTTTTTAATAAACCAATCTTCAATCAAGTTTGAAAGAACATCCGAAAGACGATACTTAAAACTTCTCAATTTGAATCCTAAAGAAACATTAGCAATAATTTAATAATCTAAATTATATATAACATTTAATCTTACACTTATAAGTATCTGGATTTTCATTGCAAAAAAGCTGTAGAATTTTTTCAAGCAGTAACATTGCTTAAACTTCGTGGTAAGGCGCTACGCATTAACAAGTTAACTTGATTGAAAATACAGTTATGGAATGACTCAAAAACGTCTAACAACAGTTAAGATAGTTAAAAGATTATCAGTTTATTAAAAAATCATTTAATTTTTACGATTCCAAGTTTTACAAGCTATTTGACCATGAGAGTTTGAAATATGCAGGTTACCAACTAAAAATTCCGTTTAACGCTTGAAGAAAGAATTTAAAGTACATTTTTAAATAATGTTAATAGGTTCTTGTTTGGACGTTTCTATCGGAATGTAAAGATGCAGAGACAAGCCGAAGACAGGGAGGCATGGAGGCAGCTCGTTGATGACTCGGTAAAGGCTTATCAGGGCAAGCACGACCTTCAGCAATGAAGAAACGAAGAAGAAGAAGAAGAAGAAGTAAAGATTCAATTGTTTATTGATTTATATTAAAATTGTAGGCCTTTGTAATTTAACTCCGGCATTACTTTAGGGGATAATAAAAATCAACTTAGACATCGGTGTTTAAATGTTGGATTGTCATTGGAACTTTTTCATGTATAAATTGATTAAAATTTACATGGAGTCTAAGTATCATAAATAGGTAAATATATGACGACCGTACTTCTATTTTTATTACTATGTTTTAGTTCCTCATTCATTACGAGCATAAAACTAGATAGAATTCTGAAAAATTTTGATAAAATGAATATTACCTTTTTAATATAAAGCATGTAAGAATGCAGGAAGTCGCTGATAATATGCAGTTATTGGATATATATAAAAATAAATTCAGTTCAATATAGTTCACATCTACAGTAGCATTACTTTCAAAATGTTTCTTCAGACGAAGTTCAAGTATTTCTTTGCGTTAATTTGTTTTATAAAATCATCAAAAGCATTAGATTGGCGTGTCTTCGGTGGACAGGATTTGCGTTACGAGTTGCATACTTCTTTAGTAAAACTAGAAGTGCATGCATTGAGAGAAACATATTGCAGTGGATCAATTATCAGCAATAATTGGATAATATCATCAGCGCATTGCAAAGAACCAGGTACAGTCTCTATAACCGTACTCCACGGTTCCAGAAATGGCTTAACAGCTATCGCCACTGTTTACAACAAGGATATAATACAACATCCAAATTATATACCTAAATTGACTACTCCACAAAATATCGGTATTGATGTTGCATTATTGCGTATTAGACAATCTATAATTTTCGGTCAGAATATAAATGCGATTAATTTAGCTACATATGGGGCTTCAGTTGGTGAGACTGGTATTATCGCTGGCTATGGACATACAGAACCTAATCTTAAAGCACCAAGAGAAGGACCAGTAGTTATAACACATTGTCCAGTCTTCGTTAGTAATGTAATTTGTACCCAAGGTCCTGTGAGAGCAGGACACGGTGATTCAGGAGGACCTTTGATCTTGAATGGAAGAATGGTCGGTATTACATCAGCTACTTGTACAGATGCACCAATCAATAATATGTGCTTGTCGTCTTACACCAGTGTTGTGGCAAACATGAAATGGATACAATTAGTTACTAATATGGTATTTTAATTGAAGGAAATATCAAACAGTTAGAGAACATATATTTATGAATATGGAAAATACGATTTTATGTATTATAGATAAATGCTATGCATCTAAATAAATGAATATTACAATTATATGTTATTTTTCTAATCCATGCTATTATAATAAAGCGTAAACACACACTTCTTTGTTGCCTAAGATGTCAGCAATTACAGCATATTTTTGAATAATCCTTTTTTTAATAAAAAGCCCTACACTTACGTCACGCTTTAGGCTATATATTTTCACGCCGTTAAACTTAGGGGTAAATATTTTGCATAAAAACCCTAATGTAGGAAAGAGACCATAAGTTGAACAACCAGCAATCAACATCAAGGAAGCAAGGTTGTCATGGTTCGACATCATATCATATGATTTTGACATTTCCAATTGATAATTTGACAAATGTGAACAATAAAATATTTTTTTTATAATTTAATGCGGATGAAGTCGTATGACAACAGGTAGTTTAAACTAAAGTCTAAGGTAGGTAGGTAGTTCCAAATACGCAGGGATGACCCTGAGACCCTTCATAAGATACAACATATATTTTTGGAAATTTAGGTTTTCCGAGCATTTGTAGGCAACAAGTTTGCTGCGTAATAAGTTTAGTACTAAACCCGTTGAAGTTAAACGGTTGGTTAGTAGGGAATCTTATCTACATAGGTTTGTCTGTTCGGAAGCATCTTTGCCGCCTCTATAAAATGATTGTTAATACATACCTTTTTTATATAGTATGCAAATACAACAAAGGGCTAAAGCTGTTGATACGATCAATATTTTAAAGTACCATGAGAGTATAAAATTGTTTTTTTTAATTTTATGTTGTAACAAATAACTGGAATGAAAATACAATATCAAATGTTGCAATTATTAAAATGTTTAATTACATGGGTTTTTAACGTCATTTTATGTAAAATATTTTGGCTTTTGTTATTATCTCGAAAAGTATAAACAAGGCAAACTATAGACATATAAAAAAAAACTAATTTGATATTAGCAGAGCGTGGTTTCGATCCACGGACCTCTGGGTTATGGGCCCAGCACGCTTCCACTGCGCCACTCTGCTTGTGATATCCTGTAGTCAAAGCAAGGTACACATATTCTTCATTTCCACTTACGCCCGTAACTCTTTCCGCGTGGATAAAAAAAACAAAAGCATGTTGCCAGTGTTCTTCCAGACTATACTATACATCTGTGACAAATTTCATCGATATTCGTTCAGCAGTTTAGGCTACAAACTCCAACATCCATCCATTCAAACTTTCGCATTTATAACATTAGTAAGTTAGTAAGATTGCAGGGTTATAAGCTTGATCTTGCGTAATACAATTTTTTAATCACTTATGTAAGTCTCTGCGATATAGATTTTATTATTATGTTTCTAATTAATGCAATGCAAAAAAGTAGATATATTTTAACAAAAAAAAGGTTAGCAGAGCGTGGTTTCGATCCACGGACCTCTGGGTTATGGGCCCAGCACGCTTCCACTGCGCCACTCTGCTTTCTATCAGCAACTACAAAAATGTTATACTTATTTTTTATATTTTTTAAAACCTAAACGGTAAAAATGTTTTACAGTGATTTTAAATTACATAAACAAAGTTGATCGAGTGTAGGAAATATACTGACATTATAAAGAGGAAAGATGTGCATTTTTGGACTATTTTTTGTGTTGACAATACTCAAAAACTACTAGGCCAATTTTAAAAATTATTTCACCATTAAAAAGCTACATTATTAGTGAGAAAAGAAATAAAACGAAAACCTTGATATGCTTATAGTGCAGACCAATCTTAGTAATATTGTAAATGCGAAAGTTTAGATCGAAGGATGTTGGTTAGAGTTTGTAGCTTTATTTGCTGAACGGATTTCGATGAAATTTGGCACAGATGTAGAGCATAGTCTGAAAGAACAGATAGCCTATATACTATTGTTTTTTAATACCACGAGGACGGAGTCGAGGACGAAAGCTAGTGTATAAATAAATCAAATAAGCAATGACTATCGCTTGGTAATTTTTATAACCTAAAAATAACACAATTTAATGACGTTTTAAAAAGGTAATTAAAATTATCTATATTTTATGTATAAATGTGTAAAATAATAGAACATTTTTCATAATCGTTAAAACATGAAAAATGTGTTTCCGTGTGTTACATATAATAATACTTTTATATGTCAGTTTTAAAGTATCAAGAACATTAGAGTGGCGTGTATTCGATGGTCAAGAATTACGTTACGACGTTCACAGTTATTTAGTGAAATTACAATTCTTTAGATATAATATCACAAGTATTGGGACATCCAGTAGCTCGATAATTAGCAATTCATGGATTATAACATCAGCGCATTGTATCCAATCGAAACTTCACACTATTATAGTTTTACACAAAAGTGAATATAACATGAGAATCATAGCAGAGGTTAGAAAACATGATGTATACAGCCATCCAGCTTTCATACCACACCTTGATACTATGTCAAATAGAGAAAAGGATATCGCATTATTATTCATAAGACGAAAAATAGAATTTTATTGGCATATTAAACCCATAAAATTATCGTTAATTCGTCCAAGGATCGGTGATACAGGAATAATAGCTGGTTTTGGAGAGTCAGAAGTATACCTAACAGCTCCTAGAGAAGGTATTGTGATCATAGATTCATGTCCAGAAAAATCCAGTGAAAGAACTAGAAATATTTGTACCATAGGTTCTGTTAGAGCGGGATCAGGAGATTCTGGAGGACCGTTGATTTATAAAGGGAAATTAGCCGGATTAACATCAGGTGGATGTGTGAATGTTAGAAAAAATAACATGTGTTTGACTGTATACGCTAGTGTGGAAAGAAATATTGGATGGATATCAGCAATCGTTAGTAGTGTCTAAGTAAAGAAAACTAATATAACGTAAGATAATTTTAATTTTTACTAACATTAAAAAGAGAAAACTTTGTATTTTTGTATGTATTGAAATAACTCAAAAATTCTTTTACTATTAAGAAGCTATGTTATCATTGAGTAACATAGGCTATATTTTTACCTTCTACGCTGACGAAGCCGCGAGCAATATCTAGTACATATTGAATTAAGTACAGATAAAGACGGAAACAAAATATTTTTACTTACATCACAAAGATATGACAAACATAAGAATATTTAGAAAAAAGGGCAAAAGTGTTATACAGTAGGCGCATGGTGTAGGCGACCTTGGCTGTTTCCCATTGGACCGATCGGTCTATGTGTTAAAATCACATTGTCTCGATTGACAGTAGATTGATCAGTCCAACGGGAAATACAACTATTCCATTTGTATTGACTTGGAAAAAGAAATCAAGAACAATACTTAGGATGTTTCCTTGTCTTCCTATACTTAAGAACAATGTATTAATATCCCTTTCAATACGAAATTCGCATGCATATAATAACAGCTGTAAAATAAAGTCATTCTTAATACTAAGATGTTTATAAAATACTATCTGCGAGTTCATATTGTGTGACGAACGACCCAATAACTATGCTAAAGTGTTACGCCACGTATTATGACGATTCATGTAACTTTTTTAGTACAGTCGGCAACAAAAATAATAGAAATTAGTATTAGAAAAAATATAAATTCTGTTTATTTAAGCAATAGATAGATTCTATAAATGTAAACATTGTTTTTTTTTTAATTTTCGTCGCGACTGTACTTTCGTTTAAAACGCTTTTTGCGCTTGTTGAACTCTTACATCACAAGCGTATCATCGCGATCAGTAACTTGTGATGTAAACAGTTTACACGCTGTAATATGAGCCATTACTAGTTAAACATACGTATAAAATTGTCCTCTCATTCATTTGCTTTGTAAAAAATGAGACAGCAATATGTGGATAGCAATAATACGACTTAGGTTCCTTCAAGAAGCGAGCCTGTCATTTCCTCAAAGGCCGGCAACGCATCTGTAGTTCCTCTGGTGTTCTCGCCGCTCGTTTGCCCCCCTTTGTTATAAAAAAAAAAGTGTATGAGTCTGCGAACTCAGTTGTAAGAGTTAACGCAAACCAGAGCAATAAATTGTAACAATTTGCATGACGAATTTCTCCCTAATATCTTTCGTCAGATAACTGCGTCATATAATGTACATATGACGTGATTATATAATTTTTTTATAGTTTTTTTTTAATTATATTCCATTATTTTAACAGTAGATATATAGACACCAAGAAAGCAGCTCGTAACTTATCAAATAAAATGTACTTTTACTTTAAAAGTGTTTTTGTTGCATTTGTTTTAATGAATATTTCTGAATCTATTTCTATCAGTGGTAAGTTTTTTAAAGTCGATTTTCACTCAATTTATATTAAAAAGATATTAGCTGTAAATAAAGATATTACCTAATTGTTATCTTAATTTAGTGGTTGTAAAAATAACGAAGTTTTGCGTAATATTGCCTTATTATCTGTTAAAGCGAACAGAAATGTTATTCAAAGAACTTTTTCTGATAAGCGCTGACTAATGATATCTTCTTTTAATAAATAAATAAATAGAGCATATATCATTTATAATCAAAAATAATAATCATACTAACATTATAAATGCGAAAGTTTAGATGGATGGATGTTTGTTGGAGTATGTAACCTAAACTGCTGAACAGAACTCGATGATAGATGTAGAGGATAGTCTGTAAGAACACATAGGCTACTTGATTTCGTTTTTTTTTAATGCCACGCGTAAGGATCCGTAAGCAAAAGCTAGTAGTATATAATAGTTGCCGTTGGTACGTATTGTTATCTCTGCAATTAATGACAATGAATCCACACTAACAATAACGGAAGTTTTATTACAAGTTTACATTTTGAAACTCATTATATTTTGATGGTTTAATATCGAGCAACATTTTGATATAAGAATTTTTTAATATCATCCGTGGATTTCTTTATTAGAAATCGCGACCGTACGAGTAAAGTTTTCAATATAAGTTTGTAAAGGACGTGCGTGTTTTATGGACGGAGAAGCGACAAAAAGTTTACCAGAATAACATAAAAATAGTATAGAAATCATCAATACTACATTTGTTTAGTACTACTGTACATGGTTTTCAGATATTTTTTTTAATTTTTGCTTTCTGCAGTGTTATACAAAGTACTATGTATAAATTGTAAACTTAAAAACGATTCAATTGATTTCAGTCATCGCAAGCTACATTCTCTATCTATAAACTTAAGTCTTTTTATTCTGTAGCTTATACTAGCTTTCTTTCCCTTTCCTTTTTTAATAAGGTAAAGATGGAGTGAGAATGGACAGGGTTTATTTCAATTGAAGTAACGTCTTGCTCTAGACAGAGACAAACCAAATTTAAGCAACCTTCAACATTGAAGACACAAGAAGAAGGAAAGCAGATATAGGGAGAAAGTATAGGAGTGGAGATGTATAGGAAAATTAGTCCTTTTTATGGACATCCTCTCCGCATGCGTTAACCGTTAGCGGTTTGCAACCTTCTAACTTATTGCACATGTCGTGATTTCGATAGTTAGGTAATTTGAAGAATAGTATCTTTCCTAATAGATAAAGTATGGCGGGGTGAGCTTCAACTGTAGACGATGTCAGTTATCTAAATGACGTCTTGTTGAGGTTACGCGTCGTATCGCTTGAGTTCTATTCACTTTTGTTCGTGTGACCTTGAACGTTCTATTTACATCTAAGTGTTTTTGAGATTTCAATGATTTAGTAATGATAATTATATTTTAATGATTAATTAAAATATAATGATGTGTGTATTAAAATGTCATTAAATTTATATGCTTGAGTAGTCATCGAGTTGTAATCATATTATATGCTTAGTACTGAATCATTACAAGTTTAATCACTATTACGAAACTGCAGCTAGGCCGCGCTTGTTGGGCATGGTCAGTTATAATTAAGCGATCAACTAAGGCCGTTGTGTATATAGGGTAGTAGAGTTCCATACTTGCGGATTAGAATATATCCAGTTGGACAATAATTATGGAGTTGACAAAAATATTCTACGTCTGGATGTGTGTTACATTCCTGGTGTTGCATTGTGTTCTGGAAGGTTCCAGTGAACAAACAGCATTCGAATTGCCTGTACAGTTGGTTGGGTTCCCCTTTATTGTAGTGGCGGTGCGGGTGACAAACTTTATCAAGAAACTTTCGTATGCGTTAAGTCCAGGTAAATACATTACTGATTTAATTTTACTAAGTTTATATTTAATTAAATGCTTGAATAAGAATTAAGGTTTGCTTGACTTCTTTCTAAAATTTACGTCAAGTTTGCCTTGAAAATAATTATGTTTGAAATACAACGAAGGTTATTAACTTGTTGCAGTTACTATAAAATTGTATAAATATGTTTAATAAAGAGCATAGTAATACACTTATATCAAGTTATGATATAAGAAGATGGAGAGAGAGTTGTAGGGTAGAAGTAACTGAAATTCTTAACATAGTAAAGCTTTCTACTAAAACTAATCTTATGTTTTAACTTATCAAAACCAAGATAAATACGATAAAAGACATTCAATAATCCATAAAATAAAACAAGCAGGTTTCAAATAATTTTTATTTGACAATAATTAAAAAACAAATAAAACAATACAATCTAAATTATGAAATGAAATAAAAACTTAACCTCATAGATTTTCTATATAAAAACCGCTATGTAATTAATTAGTTGGTCGTAAACGTGATTGCATCGAAGGAGGCGATCTGCAACTTTAACTTATGTAATCAAAGTAAAATAACTTGTAGCATCAATGACCGCTTGGCCTACTTTGAATGTTTGTGGCGCCGACAGCGAAGATGTTTATTTTCAATATTACGAGTAGTAAATAGTTCCATCATTATCAAGAAAGAAGAAGCCTCAAGTTAGGGGAAATTAGACCATTGTCCACCATTCCGCTCCCCCCTTATGGTACTCCCGAAGGGTCGGCCCAGCTGGTACTGCCCGGTCTTCGCTGCAAGTAGAACTGAAATAGAAACAATAATGAATATCAGAATAAATAGAGGTAGTTTAAATACTACGAGTACTAAGAAATGAAACCACTAGAGAAGAGTTTGTAAAATTCTGTAAATATGTAGCACAAAAAGTGATATACAGAAATAAGACTAGATAGAAATAGTAAATTTTGTAAATACTATAAGTACGATAATATAAATTTTAAAATAGTTTAAGTGTTAACAAAGAAATCTAGCCGAAAATAGGAAAAGTATGTAACGTCCCTGATCCAAATGTTAGGGGTACGAGAGGGCACAGGGGCGCCAAAAAAAAGGCTCGCCGCAAACAGAATTTTGTCCTCAACATAAGTCATTAGTCGTCACTTCCTTCTTCATGTCATCTTTCACGCTATTCTATTTCTTTACGTTACGAATACTATATTGAAAATTTTCGTGCTAAAACCCCTATTTGCCCCACATTCTACGCTACTTTACTGTCACTTCCTTACTGTACGCAGTGACATAACTTTGGTTAACGAAAGTCAAAGAGATTAAAAATATATAGAGGGGCATAGTTGACAATTCACTTGAAACATTTTTAATTTAATTTCAAATCTGTTAATAAATCATCAAAGTCAATATAATTGTATTTATTAAAATAACCAACAGGTGTCATTAAATAATATTTATATTTGTAAAATAATATTTTATTACACGTCCTTGACACGAGGTGGCGTACTGAACTTGTCAACTGATTACCTGATTACTGATTACCTGTCAGAGAAGTTTCCTGTGAAAACATTTTTTCAATGCCTTGTCTATATATTATTTAATATCTTTGACGAATGTATCCAGTACTCGACACAGGCTTATAATGTGCAGTACAAACTTTGTCGTTTTAAAATACAAACGTGAAGTCAGGGAAAAAAATAAATTCAATAGTTAATTCTGTTATGTAATTGTTACAAAATATCAATTGAATATTTATAAGTAACGTTGGCTTGTGAAACTTCTGTTACTAGTTCGTACATTGTACTTATTGTCTATTGTCAAAGTAACTTAGTGAGATATGGAGTCCGGTCGTGTTTTAAACTTTGTTTTAATATCTTTATTATTGAATAGTTTAAGTTTCTGTCAGCAAACTGATTTCGAATTACCGGTGCAATTAATCGGTTTCCCTGCTATAGTGGGTGGTGTAAGATTTACTAATTTTTTAAAGAAACTTGCGTATTCTTTTAGTCCTGGTGAGTTTTTATAAATGTTTTACATATTATGTTAACAAATAAAGTTGCAAATACTTTTATATTGAAAATTCCTGTCTACGAAAGCTCTTGTAAATATATATATAAGGGTTTTAACAAAGAAACTGACTTTTATAAAACGTTTTTTATAATTTCTTTTTAAACTTCGTTCAATGTTTAACAAGTAAATAACCTATGTACAATAGTGTATTAACAGCGTGGTTTGCAGTCATCGAATATCTTGCAAATATTTTAGTAATATTATAAACGCGGTCTGGATGAATGTTTGAGAACGGCTCAACGGATCTCACTGTGGTATAGATATAGATCATATTCTGAAAGAACGTCGGTAGTTAGTAGTAGTTAAGTTGTTTTTTTTTTTATTCGATGCAGACGGAGTGGCGTTGACTGCTAGTTTGCAATGAAAATGTAAATAAAACAAAGATGGGGTTAAATAAATCATGAGAACAGGTTTGATTTATTACATCTCTTTCATCTGAATCGTCAAAGATTATTTAGATGAGTTTAGCACCTTTGATAAGAATATGTAAAGAAAAATATTGGTGCTATCAAAATTTTAATCGCACATTTTTTTTCAGCGACATACAAATCACGAGCTCGTCGCGAACTGATCTACACGGACCAGAGTATGGAGGCACTAGATGCTCGGGAAGTAGAGAAGTACATAATAGCTGAGTTCGGAGCCAAGTCGTGCGTGTTCGACAGGATATGCTCGCATTATGCCGCTAATGCAAGAGTACACCCGAGACAGCAACTGAACTGGGCTGATGTGTTCAAGTAAGTCTCCAGGAAATAGGTTAGCTTTTTTTAACATAGTAAAGCGAAGCGACCGCTGCCCATACACATCCACAATTGCAGATGCGTTGCATACTCTTAAGCGACGGAGAAGAAGACGCATATAAACAGGATATCTTCTCCCTATGCGTCTTGTCACCGTCAAATTTACTTTATGAAAGGAACTAATAACTTTAAATTAGTTGTTTTCGATATTAAAAGTTACAATATTTGTATTCTTTAGAAGACATAAGAAAGTATGGATGAATTGTGTGAAAGATATGCTTAAGAAGGGAGTGGATTCAGATATGATGACTGATAGAAATGTATGGAACAGTACTGTGCCGTCCCTCCGTAGGGACAAGGGCAAGTTGATGATGATGAAAAAATATACTTCACGATGTTGATTTAATTATTACTTTTGATTGAAGAAATTATTGTTTTCTTTTTGGTGTAATTCTAAAACGACAACTAGCATTGTATGTGTTAGAAGTGATTGGATAAAAGTAAATATCTATGAGCAGTCTAACAAGAGTGTTAGTAACCAGTACTAAAGTTCAAAAGCCTCATTTCGCACATCATCGACCTTGACATGGCATAACGGAGTTTCTTTTTTCAATACTTCAAATTCAAATTTAGAATTTCAATGGCAAAACGTGTGATGAATTTAGGCCAGTGAGCGGTGACGTTGCGTAAACGCAGCGTGGACGGGCCGCAAGTGGGTCGTCGATGTAACTCGCAGACGCAATCGGAAGGGTCACTGTGCTGACCAGTCACGTATGCAACGCCATATCACTCACGCTAAGGAATAACATACACGGACCGCTTAAAGCAACCAGCGTTTGACAGGAATTGATGTTTGCTGTACACGAACCGTTAGATGTCGCCACACGCTAATGCTGCACGTCGACTTCTTGAAGCTGTCCATAGCGATTTTAACCCAGAGATAAATATTATTGAATTTCAAATATGGATTTATTAGGTTTCCCTTATGGTATCTCTCGATGAAATTTGGCATAGATGTAGTCTGGTATCTGGATGGTAGTCTGGAAGAACGCATAGGCTTCTTGCTTGGTTTTTTTTAATTGCGCATTAAGGAAATGGCGGTCAAATTCTAGTATTTGCATATCTTTCTTACATCTTTGTTTTGTAAAAAAATGAAATTCTTTTCGGACTTCAATAAATGTTATAATTTCATAATCTTTAAATTCATAAAGTTGTATTTATTTAGAGTTTTGTCGATGTTATCTTACTTCATTTAATCTATATTTGTCACAAGAGTTCCATTTTATTCTCTTTTGAAATTAGGTTCATCAATTGAAACTGACAGCATACTACTAACACTTAGTGTTACATAGTGTTACATACTACTAACATTTTAACAGTGGTAGTGCCCGCTTTAACATCTTAGCACGAATGGGCCGGCACGCCCGGTGTAATACCACGACCACACAGAAGACAGGCGTGAAATGGAAGCCATTCCGTGTTTCGTCTGTTGAGTGTGGTGCCAGAGGCCTAATTTAAGTCCCTTTCTCTTTACCACCCTTTTCTTACAAGGAGAGGATGGGAACGGGAAGTGGATTTGACGGTAGAGGAGATACATAGGAAGAGGAAATATCCTCTTGATGTGCGTCTCCTCCTCCGTCGGATAAGGGTAGGCAACGCATCTGCAATTGCGGATGTCTATGGGCAGTGGTCGCTTCGCCATTTTGGCGGATTCAAGTGTCCGCTTGCTCGTTTGCCACCTTATTTTATATAAAAAAAATGTAGCATCATTTGTTTGGAATTCAAGAGAGAAGGTGCCAGGAAATACTATCAAATAATCTAAATCATCTCAGCATACTTCCTCTAATTGTATGAGGTCCATAACCTTTTGATTGCATGCACTAGTTTAGTGTTGCATTGCGTACCCGAGGCAAGCCACTTGCATAATACTTTGGACTTTCACTGATCTTATGGTGCACACTAATACAAACTCAAATATACCTTATATCATTGCTATAAAGTTTATATTCGTATCGCAAAACAATTATTGGCAACATTTAAATATTTTTATGAAATGAACTAAATGTGAATTGTTTGCGAAATACATACATTTGTCTGGGTAATGCAATTCTGTCAAGTAACATATTGCTTGCCACATAGACGTGAAAAAAACTTTTAATACGTCTATACCTTGCAATTGTTAGTTTCAAAATTTAACCTTGATCCGTGTGATCATTGGTTGTCAAATACGCTTATAAAATTCTGTTTTTTTTTTTAGACAATACCGTCAGTCTCAGGACCAGGCGAAGGAGCTGTTTCTACTGAGCGTGTTCCTCGGAGACATCGTGGGCTCCCCGCACCTCTGCCACCAGCTCGGCAAGCGAAGGCCGTGTGACGAAACACTACTGACATCTATTGTCTCATAGCTGTAACAGAAACCAGTGCAAATTTTAATATTCATATCGAGATATTTATTTAGAATTAATCGATCAGATTAATGGACAATTAATCGGCCTATTGCAAGGATGCAAGCATCTTAAGTTTTTTATTGGCGACGTTATGCCGCCCTGTCGTACCCCTATCATGTGGGATTCAGCTTTATTTCTTTATTAAATGTTTCTCTTCTCTCTAGAAATGTACAATATAACTTACAAACTAATATCACAAATTTTCTTTACTACATCAAGATCCTACAAAGCATTTTAAGTTTTCTAGGATGCTTGCATTCTTACATTGATTTGGGTCGTTCAAAGCGTATTGCAGCTACATATAAAGCGAAATTGGGCAAACCGCATTACTTTTTCGTTTCATTTTATTATCGCGTGCTGCATTGGTTCCGCTAGCTACCAGACTGACCTATCGTTTGATTACGAGAGAAGAACTTAACTCAATCTGACTAATATTATCGATGCTAAAGTTTAGATGGATGTTGGAGTTTGTAGCTTAAACTGCTGAACGGATCTCGGTGAAATTTTGGTACAGATGTAGAGGATAGTCTGGAAGAACACATACTTACTTTTTTTTAATTCCACGCGGACGGAGTCGCAGACGAAAGCTATCTATAAATGCATAGGAGAAGATTGTTTTTGTATCCTTTATTGGTGATATCCAAAACAATAAACTTACTAAAACTAACTGATAATAGTTGTATTAGAACGAATAATTTTCAAGAACCATTCTATTTCTACCGTGACGAAGTAAAAAACACTTTAAGTTTTTATTTAGTTTGTGGTTTGTAACATTGTAAAAAAGTCAAGGATATTTTTAGAATATTTTTAATTAGCCACACTAAGATGCAGTTTTCTATAGTTACCATTTAGTTATGTAAAAATGTGATACCGAATAATTGTGTTCAAGTTCACTTGTTAATAAACAAATTGTTAGTGTATTTTTAGTTCTGTGAATGATGTTAGTTATTAAATAATTTTGCTCATGTAGGCGTTATGGATGTAATTAGTAAAATATCAATTCAACAGTGGTAGAGCCCGCTTTAACATCTTCGCTCGAATGGGCCGGCTCGCCCCCAGCAATACCACGACCACACAGAAAACAGGCGTGATGTGGAAGCAATTCCGCGTTTCGTCTGATGAGTGTGGTGCCGGAGGCCTAATTTTAGTCCCTTTCCCTTTCCACCCTTTTCTTAAGAGGAAGGGATGGGAAGGAAAAGAATTTGACGGTGGAGTAGACGCATAAGAAAGAGAAATGTCCTCTTTATGTGCGTATTCTCCTCCGTCAATCAAGGTAGGCAACGCATCTGCAATTGCGGATGTTTATGCGCTGCGGTCGCTCTCCATTTCTGTGGATTCAAGTGGTCGCTTGCTCGTTTGCTGCCATATATTCTATTAAAAAAAATAGAGTTTTTTTTTACAATCTCCAAAGAAATGAGAATATGGTGCTAAAGGATGTGTCTACAATTTAATAATGTATTAAACCTATCATGTAATAAAACACTGTGAATTCTTCCATTTAAATGCCACTGTAATGAATTTTCACAATTATTTTCTTTCCTTCAAATTGTCTTTTATTGGTGGTTATGTGTTTAATTCTAGTTTGAATAAATTTAACTTAAACAAATGTAGTTACGATACTTTTTTTTATTTTACCTATCCTTGGTTCAACCAGTACAAAAATTGCGTTTCCATTGCAAAACATTATTAATATATAGGTACTACACTAGGTCTGGGAGAATGGAGCTATCATCAAAATAGACTTATTCGTAGTATTTTTTACAACTATTTTACGTTTTTGGAGTCCCTATGGGGGGAGCTGTCCCCTATGTCAACTACTGAAGACGACTATGTAGTAAATTTTGTTAAAAAAAATTAGTTTGCTTTGGTAATTAGAATAAAAGAAAATAGAAAAAGCGCCATCTATCGTACAATGCGCATAATATTTGTAAATTCGAAATGGAAAGAACTTCGATTAATTTTAGCTTCGAATATAGATGGCGTGCAATTGAAAAACTGAAATAACATTAAAACATTGTTTTCTTTTATAGTGATTACTTGGATACTTTGGATTATGAATTTGTCACTAAGGGGGCCTCTTTGAGTGAACAGTTCTAAGAGATTAAAAAAATACACTAACATTTCAATTGATAACATTTTAAAATACCATAGATTCCATAAATAAGCCGATACAGTCGCCAACGTCCATACCACGTTGAATACACCGGTTCTCGTCCGATCACCGAAGTTAAGCAACGTCGGGCGCGGTCAGTACTTGGATGGGTGACCGCCTGGGAACACCGCGTGATGTTGGCTTTTTGCTGTTTTTTTTTGTTTATTGAAATAAAAATCGCCAAAATAAAGTTATATTGTTCTGATCTATATTAAAGAAAGCAATGTTAATACAGTTTTATTTTTATACATAAAAATAACTTATGTATAGCTTTCGTAAAATACGATAAAGCAGTCGCCAACGTCCATACCACGTTGAAAACACCGGTTCTCGTCCGATCACCGAAGTTAAGCAACGTCGGGCGCGGTCAGTACTTGGATGGGTGACCGCCTGGGAACACCGCGTGATGTTGGCTTTTTGTTAATTTTTTCAAAGAGGAGTGTCAAAGTAATGATTTGTAATTTTTATATGTAACAATGAATTTAATTTTGGCAATTTATTGTTTACGAATTCCAAAATTCTAATAAAAATTTGGCGTTTCAAAAAAAAAGTCTTATTAATTACATACTTTATTTTATTTCATCAGCATTTACAATAATAGCTTTGAACGTACAAACAATATTTACTTTGATCTACATTGTCGTTAAATATATCACAATAAGTCTTAAGACGAAAATCTATTTACTAAAAAATATTTTCATAATCAAACTATTGCATCTTAATTAAAAAATACACAAGTTAGGGCCTGTTCCACAACTGGCTAGAGGCTCGGATAGCTTAAAAATGACGTAATAAGGGAACGAAATCCGAAATTTCCATCATATATTTTTATAAGACAATTTACAATCTGGTGGGACAGGCCCTGAGACATTTAATTGAATTATTTACATCTTACAAGAAAAACTAATCACATAATATACTTAAAATAACCTTACTTATTAATACTTGTTTTTGGCTTCACATTTGTGCTAGGGATATAAAAAAGCTGTCTATAATCAATTATCCTGAGATCGTTATGACCATAAAGTATATTTCTATTAAAAGTCTATAAAAGTATTCGCGGTAGAATCCTTGTAGATAGTTTAATAAATAAACTCACGCATGTCATAATATACGAGTTAATTTCAAAACAATGGTTGAACGTTCCTACGTCCGTTCTGTTAAACAAACTAGCTTCACTAAACCAGTTAGCACTAGCTAGGAACAAAGGCTATTACAAAGAGATTCAAACAATATATAGAGGAGGCATAGGAGGCACTTCGCTTGAATTTCTTCGCATAATCTATTTGGTAATAAATCTTCAAAACTACAAGTTAATTTAAATAAAAAAATACTAACTGTAAATAAAAATAAAAATACTGACACCTGTCAATAAATATCTAAATGTTTATATTTTTGTAACTCTGTCTAGTTTAATTTATAACAAAAGATGCTTATTATAATTTCGTAAAATGTTTTCTTGCATGTCTATATAAGGATAACTGGGGGCATTAAACTTGTCAACTAATGTACTTTTCAGAGAAAGTACCGGTGAAAAAAAATTACTGCCTCGTCTATACATTTTGAAATGTCTGCTTTTTACAAATGATCGAGTCAAAATTATTCAAGTCAAGTCAATTTAGGTCTCAAAGTCACTGTTATAGCGCGCGCCTCAAACTAAACTATCGCACAACTGTTTAGTCCCGCTTTGATTTCTATGGGCTTATATGGTGGGCACACTACTCGATTTTTAGTTTTGCAACTAAACAATTGGCTGCGAAACAATCGACAATCGACATCAATTGTGCGATAGTTTAGTCATAGGTGCCCGCTCCTTTATTGAAAACTGGGTTTCAAACTCCAATCATGTCAAAGATTATCACATATTCACACAGCGTAATTTCTTATCGGGTACACGGGAAGCGAATTGGAAGCTAGGCACAACCCTAGCTTCTTGTTTCTGTTCCTCCTTTATTTCTTCCTTTTCACCCATTAACGTCTTCAAGCAAATTCTCATATCTGAAGCGAATTTTCTAACAAGTCTTTCTAAAGAAAAGAGATGTTCATCTAACGCTTCTGGTATTTCCTCTCTCATAAAATCTGCTAACTTCAAAAGGTATTCCGCATTAGAACCGGATGATCCGTGGCATTCTAATATTTGCTTAGCTATATCGGGTAAAGGCGCAGCACCGAGCCAATGTCTATTTTCTGGCAGGGCGATATACAGTAATGCGTTTCTATCCGTTTGGAAGTCACTACTGCTACTACTGCTACTAGGGGAAGAGAAGAGACACGGCCGAGGATGAAAGTTGACTGTGTATATTCTGTAGCCGCCGAGTTTGCATTCTCTAGTGGAAAGGTAGGGTAGTGCAGCTTTGTTTTCTGCTGCTATTAAAAATGCTTTGCCCCACGTGACACCCTGAAACAATAGAAGATTACTTAAATAAGGACATTACGATTACTTACGTATATAAATATCATTATACTTAGAAAAAGATAAAGTGACAATAAAAATATATTCCTCATCTAAATATTAGTAATTTCTTATAAATGAATATTGGTATATTTACAAAATAAAACATTCCGTGCATTACAACTACGTACATGTCAAAACTGATATGTTATTTTAATTGCGTCATTAAAATAAAATAATAATTTAGAAACCTGTATTGCGTTAACTGCAATACTCATTGAGGAAAACAATAACACGCGATAGTACATTATATGATGCACTAAGCGTCACAAAAAGACATTGCCCAACGGGTTTCCACGGACCGAAACATTCTTACAAGGTATATTGTTAACAAGAAAAAAACAAAATACACGAAAAACAAAACAAAATGCACTAAAAACAAAACAAAATACACCAAAAACAAAATATTCTCAAACAAACAGTACACTAA